AGAAGCTGGTCTAACCCAAGGAAAAGGAAACTATCATAATGAAGTCCTCATTCATTCATTCATTCAGCCTCTCTTTAATCAACATTTATTGGGTATCTACCATGTCAAGCCTTGGGCTAACTATTAGAGGTACTAGACTGAAAATAAAACAAAGGTACAGGTCTCAGAAGTGTGTGTGTGGTGGGGGAGGTGGTGGGTAACAGTTATCAAAATAACACTGCAGAGAGAGAGCTTAACTTGTTCCCTAGGAGGTTGGCCCATCTTGGTGGACCAGGGCTGAAGGCTGTGTGGGTGATGGAGGCCATTCTGGGGAGTAAGGATTCATCCACAGCAATTTCCCCTGTAGAAGGGGCAGCTTCAGATTCCACATGAGTCCTGGGAGCGCCTGCAGTGTTCAGGCCCAGGCTCTTCAGTTCTTCACTTTACACTTCATCGGCTCTGGCCGGGCCCTGCTGTCACGCCCATTTCATAGACAAGGAAACTGAAACTCTGAGAATTAATTTACTTGTCTAAATCCCTCAGGAAGAAGAGCCGGAACCTATCCTGGGGTCTGTGTAACTTCAGAGCTCTTTTTGTGACAGCTGGCCTGTCCCAGCTCTAGAGAAGCATGCTTTCTTTTTGTAAGACAGGGTCTTGCTCTGTCACCCAGGCTGGAGTACAGTGGTACAATCACAGCTCACTCCAGCCCCAACCTCCTAGACACAAGCGATCCTCCCACCTCAGCCTCCCCAGTATCTGGGACTATAGGGGCATGCCACAATGCCCAGCTAATTTTTTTGTCTGTGCATTTTTTGTAGAGACTGGGGTTTACCATGTTGCCCAGGCTAATGTCAAACTCCTAAGCTCAAGTGATAGGCAGGCTTTGAAGGAATCGTTAAAAACTAATAGGACCATTTTGCTGGCACCTCAAATGGGCTCTGCCCCTGCCCAGACAGCTGGCAGTGTAAGGCCCCTGGTGTCAGCAGTGCTGAGACGGGCTTTGGGGCTGCTGTGGGAGATGGTACCGGGTCCGCAGCACTCCTGGTGGGCAGCCAGCCATCACTTCCTGGGCACAATAACTGACATTTATTGGCTGCTTTCTATGTGCCAGGCACTGCCTAAGCACTTGATATAATTTAATATTTACAGCTACTCCCAGTTTTACAGAGTATGCAACTAAGGCACAGAGAGGTAAGATAATTTTCATGAGGTCACATGGTAAATGTGGAGCCAGGATTTGAACCCAGGCATTTTGACTACTGAGCGTGTGCACTTAAGCACTGTGCTAGTCTGCCTGTGTTTGGTGTGTCTGAAGGATGTCATGTTTTTGAATCCATTTTGCTTCATTGATAATGGGCCCCAAGAAGGAAGACAGCAAGCGTGATAGACCGCACACATGGCCGCAGACTTTGCAGCTCTTTCCATCATGAGTGAAGTCCATTCACCCACCCCTCATGTTTGGCCCGCCTTGTCACTTACTTTGACAAAGAGGATGCAGTGTAAGGGAAGGTGCATCCATTCCAAGCCTGGGGCTCAAGACGTCTTGCAGTGTTTGCTCTTCCCATCCTTGGAAACCTACTGCCATTGGAAGAAGCCCCAGGTAGGCTAGTCTGCTAGATGACAGACACGTGGCCCAGTCACCCTTTCACCCCAGCTGACAGCCTGCCAACCACCAGATGTGTGAGGGAGGCCATCTTAAACCATCCGGTGACCTGCCAGCTCACCACAAACACAATGAGCCCAGCAGAGCCAAGCCAAGAGAACCGCCCAGCCGACCCACAGAGTCATGAGCAAATAAATGTTTATTGTTTTAAGCTACTGAGTGTAAGCCACTGGGTGGCTCGTTATGTAGCAAAAGATAACTGATACAGCAGGAGACACTTGAAAGAGAAGGAGACTCTGAAGTTGGAGGCATTCCCACTGGACAGTGTGGATAAGTAGAAACCCTTCAGGTAGGAAAAAAGGATTCAGAGGACAAAGGGGAGAACCAGGAGGTACCCTGCCTGGGGTAGGGTATCTGGGTCCTTCAGAAATCCAGCACCCCTACTTCTGGCTTCTGCCAGATGGAGGAGTGGCAAAAGGAGAGAAATTCCAGATAGACGGCAGGAAGCCGAAAGCAGGGATTCTCTGCTGACTTTGGGAAGAGTCTCTTTCCCCCCGCCCCCCTCCCCATCCCAGCAAAAGGCAGCTGCCTCTTGACAGATTCAGTGGTGTTGTGTGTTGTGCAGAAAGGTCTTGAGAGACTCCCTTGAACTGGCCCAGAATCCTGTGTGCTATGGAAGGGATCCAGATACTCCTGCTGGGCTACTGCAGTGATTGGGACTAGTGATAAAATGCTGTGAGCCTCAGCTCAAGCAGGATTGTGAGAATGGGAAGTAGAAGGATTGGAGAAAGATTTAGGATGCAAAGGGGCAAGAAAACCTGGAGCCAACGGAACTAGAGGATCTGGCCGCTGTGGGTGGGGCAGCCTAGAAACACTGCCTGTCAGAGTACAGAAGGATGCCTGGACAACCAACAATAGGAAAAAAAAAAAAAAGAGGAAGGGCTGCTATTAAATGCCATTACCGTGTGATATGTACACATGGTATACTCATGTCTCCTTGGTGACACTGGTGATTTCTTGATAAAGCCTGCCATCTGCCCTTGTTTTAAGGGTTCCCCTTCCTTGAGGCCTTTGCATTTTAAAGGGAATCAAAGCCTGCAGGTAAAGGGATGATACTAGATTGGTAGAATTTCAGGCATCTACTGAAAATGGAACAAGGGTTTTCTCTTATGTTGGCTCCTTCCCTAGGTTCTTGACTTCGGCGCCAGCCACGAAACCACAGAAAGCATCCCCCAGGACCTTGGCGTTGGACTCTTTTCACTCCCTTCCTCCCAAGGTGTCCCACGGTTGCTTTGACTTGGGGGAGCAGGTCTCTCCCTGGCCTTCGTGGCTGCTCCCAGCTCAGGAGCGCGGGAGGTGAGGGGAGGGGAGGGGAGGGGAGGGGAGGGGAGGGGAGGGGACCGGGCCGGGGGCGGCTCGGTGGGGGCCCCGTGGGGCCGCCAGGGGGCGCTGCGCCGCCGCCGAGACGGCGGCCGCCTGGGCGTGTGGCCCGGCGTGGGCACTTTTGTGTTGTTTAGATGCCAGCGTTCGCCGCTCACTCCTTTCTCAAACGTGTTTCTAATTTACCCAGTATCTCTTCTACGGAAAAAACTTCAGGGGGAAAAAAAACGCATGCTTAACGTCAGTGCCAAGGTGGGCAAAAGGGGGTTCTGACACCAGAAGCAGTTTTGTTTCCGAACCCGCCGGGCCTGGGGCGCGCCGCCAGCAGGGCCCCTCCGCAGCCGCTCCTCCCGCCGGGGCGGAGGCGCCTGGAAACTCGCACGCCCGAACCCCGCCGCCCCGAGAGTCGCGCGCGGAGCCAGCACGCCCGCAGGCGCCCCTCTCCCGAAAACGGGTTCCGTTTCTGGCCGGGCAGGTTCAGACCCGGTGCCCGAGGAGAGGGAAGGACGCCGCCGCACAGAACCGGACGCGCCCCGCGGAGGGGCCGAGCGTGGCCTCTGGCTTTGCCCTCGCGCTGCCGGCGCCTCCAGGGAGCAGAGGGGCGGAGGGGGCACAGCCCACGCGCCGGGGGCAGCCTCCGGGCACAGGGCGGGGTGGGGGAGGCGCGGGAGGAGAGGAGAGCCAGAGTCCCTTCTGATGCGGGTCGGGGGCACTTGGGAACCAACAAGCCTGACGCCTGCAAATAGAAGTCATCGGGAAAGAGACCTCAAGGCCCATTGTACGGCGGAGAGGTCTCTGGGGTGGGGTCCTGGGGGAGGAGTGTCTGACTGGCGGCTAGGTTCTGTTTTTCAGACCAGAAAAGAAAAAAATCCCCAGTCGCCTGGGGACATGTCTCAGTCACTTTTCTCCAGCAGGAAGCGGCTTCGTGTTGGAGCCTCCTGGGATTGGCAGAGTTAAAAATCCTTTAACCCAGGATGCCTTGGGCCTTTTGTTCAGCCCTGACAATAGAATTGGGTGGAGGGGGCTGGGAAGGCAAGTAGCTGGGTTAGGGATGCACCGTGGGTCGGGGTATGGGGAAGCTTGTGTTCAGTCACTGGGTGCGTGAAAGCAGTGTGTGTGTGTGTGTGTGTGTGTGTGTGTGTGTGTGTAGGGGGAGGGTATAAGGGATCCCAGGGACACGGGGCACCAGCTCGTTAACACGTGTATGTGAATGCCGGCTGTGTGCTTGGCAAATCCTTAATTACCCAGGGAGACCTTCCAAAACCGGGAACTCAGAATTGGTCCCTAAAAGGTTGGGTAATGGAGTTTTCTTGCATCTGGAATCCAAGGGGACCAATCTCTGGCTCCCCTGGGATCCCAGATTCTTCTAGATGTCTTTGTCTTCTAAAATTCTAAGATCCCTTGGGAGAGCATATAGTTAAGGACACTCAGAAATGCATACCTTTCCACCTGACTAATTATCCTAAAACCTGTACTTTCAACATATCGTGTCCTTGATCTGTTACCCTTACCGGCACCCACAATCTCCGATGATCGGGAGTGATGACGTTTAAGTCTTTTCACCATGCAGAATTTTTTTGCCTCACTCCCCACGAATTCTCTCCTGTAGCCAGCCTGGCCCCTCATAGCCCCTTGGGTATACTGTATCTGAAATTCTCCAGCCTTTCTGCAGTTGCCCTCCTGGGACATTCGTTCTCATGTTCACAATCTAGCCAATTGTATCCCTTCCCTATTCAGTTCTAGCATCAGTCAATCAACAAGCATTTATTTTAATGGGAAGAGCAGAGTAGACTCGTGACTCACACCTGTAATCCCAGCACTTTGGAAGGCCGAGGCAGGAGAATCACTTGAGGCCAGGAGTTCAAAACCAGCCTGGGCAACAAGGGTCTTCTTTTGTCTCTACAAAAGAAAATTTTAAAAAGACCAAAAAAAAAAAAAAAAAAGAAAGCTAAACTAAAGTATTGTGGTACAGGGGTGTGTGTTTGTGTGTGTGTGCATGTGGGTGTAGTGGGTGGATGGGTGCTGTTTTATTCAGCCAGGGAAGGTCTCTTTGAGTAGGTAGCATTAGGACCTTTTGAGTGGGAAGGAGACAGCCATGTGATGATCTGGTGAAGAATGCTGCAAGCAGAAGGGAAAGTAAAAACAAAATCCCTGAGGCTGAAATGTGCTCCTTATGCTCAAGAGACACCATGAAGGCCAATGTGGCTGGAGCGGTATGAGCAAGGAGAATAGAGGGGTCTTGGGGACACAGGTAGTTGAGTCCTCATGGATCAAAGTAGGAAGTGTGGGTTTTATTTCGTGATAGTGGGAAGCCTTTGGAGGGTGAGAAGGTGGGGAGTGAAGAAAGCAGTTAAGATACTATTGCAGTAGTCCTGGCAGGGGGAGATTTTACAAACCAGAGTTGTGGCTATGGAGATGGTGAGATGTGACACTGGTGTCTGGGCCAGTGTTGGAGGTGGGAGTAGACAAGACTTACTGATGATCCGGCCCAGGACTAACTGGGTAGATTGGTGCCTATGCTGGGGGCAGAGGTGGATCGTAATTGTGTGTGGGGCATGTCAAGACCTATCAGACTTCAGGTAAATATATGTAGACAGCTTTGAGTCTGGAGTTCAGATTTAAATTCGAGAACCCACATGTAGGTAGTCTTCAAAGCAGTAGGCCAGAATAACTCCACTTAGGGAGAGAGTCAAGAAAGAAGGTGGAAGATGGCTGAGATTGATGCCACTCCAACCTTTAGAGATCTGGTAGGAGAAAGCCAGCCGAGCAGACTGAGGAAGACAGCCCATGAAGTTGGAGGAAACCAGAAGATGGTGATTACAAGGAACTCGGTAAAGGAAGTATTTTGAGAAAGAGGATGTATCAGTCTGCTGTTGCTAGGTAACAAACAACCACAAAAATCTCAATGGCATAACAGTAAATATTTATTTGACTCACATAGCTGTGGGTCAGCTGGAGGTTGGCTAGATGAGGCTGATGTTGGCTGGGCAGCTCCAAGCCGCAGTTGAGCTGAGCCTACTTTGCACACATGTGCCTCATTCTCCTTGTACCTGCAGGCCAGCTAGGGTACATTTTTCTCCCATGGTGACAATAGGCACAAAAAAGCAGGAGGAAACATAAAATGCCTCTAAAGGCCTAGGTTTGGAACTGGCACCATGTCACTTCCTCTTACATTCCATTGGCCAAAAAAGGTCATGTGGCCCAGCACAAAGTCAAAGGGCAAGAAAGTACAGTATAGTCTACTTCTAGCGGGAGGGACTGCAAAGGTGGATCGAAAGGGATAGGGGTAGAGCAAGGAGTAACAAGAAAGAGGGCCAATAAATCGGTCTTCCGCAGAGAGTGGTCAAACACATTCAATGCCACTAACAGGCTGGATGAATAGAGGACAGCGAACTGGCCACCAAAGTGACCTTAAGATGTAGGTCATTGGCCTCCTTGATAAGAGCTATTAAAACAGACAGCTAGGGATAAAAGTCCAGCTGGAGTGGGTGGAAGTGAGAGTGAGAAGTGGGGAGGTGGAGATGTCAGTGTGTAGACAAGTCTTTCAGGAACAGTCGCTCTCAAGAGGGGCAGAAAAATGGTATAATAGCAAGAAGGGGATATGAGGCTAAGGCCTTAGAGCTTTTAAAGTCCTGTTTAACTTCCATGGAAAGGCTCCAGCAGGAAGGAAGAAACTGATGAACATAACAGAAAGGGGATAATTGTGCTGGCAAAAGGGGACGGGCCCCGGGCACAGATGGAGGGCTCAGCCATGGATGGTGGGCAGAGAGAATGCAGAGCTGTAGGCATTCTGGAGGCTTTGGAGGGAGGAAGATCCGGCAATAGATCGTACCTACTTTCTCTGTGAAGGATAGTCTGAGGTTACAGTGAGAATGAAAGAGGAAGGGGTGTTGAGAATATGCAGAGCAGAGAGGGAAAGGAATTTTCTAAGTAACTATAGTAGGATTATCCAACAATTCAAAGGCCTGTTCGAAATTTATGGCCAGAAATTTGAAGTGAGTCCGTCCAGAGGAGCTGGCCGATTTTCTTTAGCGGTGTTCAACTGCTTGGGTGCAGGTGTGAAGTAAACAGTTTGATTTAACCACAGCTGGGTTTTTGCCCAGTGAATACAATGGAGAGAGACCAGAGCAAGGAAGGTAAGAATGTTTGCCAGGGAGATTTCATGTGCTGGAGCCATGGAGTTTCAGCTGGCTGAGAACGAAGGCCCAAGCAGAGAGTTGTCATGAAAAAACAGGAGAGTCATGGACTAGAGGTCTCAGATGGGAAAACTACTGAGTCCGAGAACTAAAGTAAGTGACCTGGAGGACTGACAGGTGAAGGGATCTTTGGATCTGAGATTTCAGAAATGGTGTAGACATTCATGGTTCCAAGGTCTAGGACAGGCGTCCCCAAACTTTTTACATGGGGGCCAGTTCACTGTCCCTCAGACCGTTGGAGGGCCGCCACATACTGTTCTTCTCTCACTGACCACCAATGAAAGAGGTGCCCCTTCCTGAAGTGCGGCGGGGGGCTGGATAAATGGCCTCAGGGGGCCGCATGCGGCCCTCGGGCCATAGTTTGGGGACGCCTGGTCTAGGATCTGACCAGGAGGCTGAGGTGGGGCAGGAGGAATATTCTGCTAGGGCTAAGGATGTTAAGAGTCTTAGAGATCAGAGTGTTGGGTGGGACATCAGCAGATGCTGAAGTCACCAAAAATGATGATATGGGAGGAGAAAGAGCTTGATATTAAAATAATCAAGGGATGGGGAAGTGACTAGGAGGATGATATTAGGAGGGGTGTTTGGTGTTTTTTTAAATTAAATATTTTTAATTTTTAATACTTTTTATAGTAGTTTCAGATTCACACAAAATTGAGTGGAAAATACAGAGTTTCTATATATCCCCCTCCTGGGAGCAGTGTTGTGTTCCCCCCTCCAACATTCCCCATTCCTCACCAGCATTTGTTATAATTGATGAACTTAAGTGACACATTATTATCACCCAGAGTCCATAGTTTACATTGATGTGAATGCTTTATTCTCTTTCTCTTTCTCTTTCTTTCTTTCTTTCTTCTTTCTTTCTTTCTTTTCTTTCTTTCCTTCTTCCTTTCTTTCCTTTCTTTCTTATTTTGACAGAGTCTCGCTGTGTCACCCAGGCTGGAGTGCAGTGGCATGATCTCAGCTCATGACAACTTCCACCTCCCGGATTCAAGCAATTTTCCTGCTGCAGTCTCCCAGGTAGCTGGAACTACAGACATGTGCCACCAAACCCGGCTAATTTTTGTATTTTTAGTAGAGACAGGGTTTCACCATGTTCGTTAAACTCGTCTCGAGCTCCTGACCTCATGATCCACCCACCTCGGCCTCCCAAAGTGCTGGGATTACGGGCATGAGGCACCACGCCTGGCCTTCTTTATTCTTACTTTACATTTATTTTGCTGTTGTATACTTTCTAGGTTTGGACAAATAGATGATGACATTTATCCACCATTATAGTATTGCATCCAGTAGTTCCACTGCCCTAATAAGCTGCACTTTTGAAAGAAGAAGGAGAAACTGTTTAGAAACTTCAGTGGTGAATGAGGAGGACAGCTTCAGACCCTGAGCTGCATGGCTGGAGGGAGAAAAGAGCCTCTGCAGGTGAGGGCTGTAGGGCAGCCGCGTCCTGGGGGCAGGTGGGCTTCTGGAAGAAGAAAGTGAGGATCCCTGTCTTGGAGGACCTTCAGAGTAGAGGCCTGGGGTAGGATTTGGGAGGGCAGGCAGGGTGGAGGCCGGGTTGGCTGCAGGGTGCTCAGCAGTGTGGGGTCGGGCATAGGTGCTGTGGTGAGTGGGACGGCCGGGGCAGGTGGCTGGCCCAGGAGGGAGGTGGCGGGTCAGGCACCCTCACCTGGCCCTGTTGTGGAAGCTTCCCAGATGACTTTGGGGAAAAACAGGCTTCCCTTTCCAGGAACCCCTCTAAATTTGGGTTTTCGTGGTTCTCAGGCCTGATTCTCTCCTTCCCCATGTCTCCAGCGTTCTTCTGGGTGGATTTCTTATGTCCTCAATTAGAGGAAAGTTTGGGCAGGAACCCCAGCTCTACCATTTTGCCCCCGCTCAAGTCCAGCACAGCACTTGACACATCATGTTTGTTGATGGCGTTGGATAAAACTGCGGTCTGGTTTCCCTTCGCGGCCAGGAATCCAGGAATGCACCCCCACCCCGCGGCCGCCTCTCCTCCGGGGCCAGCTGCCGCGCTGGTCCCGGGTAACCCGACGCCGGCCGCTTCCCCTCCCGCCCGGGGGCTGCGGCTGCCAATGGCCGCGGCCAGAGCCTCCGCCTGGGCCTTGGGCCCCTCTTGGCACCGCCCCCGCCAGGCTGGAGCGGGGCCGTCCGAGGCTGAGGGCCTGCGGGAGCACTGCCCAGGTCCCGTTCCCAGCGCCTGCCTGTCACCCTCTACAGGTCTCGGCTCCGACCCCGCCCGGACACCTCTGCTCCCTGCCTTGAGCCCAGGAGGCCAGGCTACTGCCCCAGGGTGCTTGAGCAGTCACAGATGGCGGCCCCCGGAGGGACACGCCAGGGCCTCTCCCAGCGCGGGAGTCAGGACACTCTGGCCCCTCTCCACCGTTTGACCTGCAGGGAGACCTTGGGTGGTACAAGAGCCTCCAAGCCTCAGTCTCCTCATCTGTAGCTGGGGCTGGGCCACGCGCATCTGAGTGGTATGATGCGAGGGGGAAGGGTATGAAAGGTCTCCCTATGTTGCCCAGGGGTCAAGGTCAGGCCCAAGACGCAGTGGCTGCCAGCAGCCGCCCCGCCCGCGGCAGACGCAGAACCGCAGCTCCTCCCGCCACCATCCAGGGAACTCCCTAGCTCCAGAGGAGGAGCCTAACAAGGGCACTTGGCTTTCTTCCACAATCCCCAGCACGAGGCATTTCCTGCAGCTCCTCACTTCCAATGTAGAAATCAGCTCCGCGTTTCAGCAGCCCTGGGAGAGGAGGCTGGAAATAGATGCTAGGCCAGCAAGATGGTGCACAGGCGGGACACCTTTCAGCTGCTTGTTTCATCTCCCCTACAGGATACTCGCTAGGGTGTAAGAAGTGTGTTAGAGGAAGCATTCACTGAGTTACCTTCTATAGGCTACAAATACTGATGTATTTATCTGTACCTTGGGTCACGGTACCCAGAAGAAAAAGCAAAGGAGAGCTCAGAAAATACATTCTAGTCTCAAAGAGGAGGGAACAGAAGAGAGGATGTCTTTGTCAGTCTACATCATGTTAACATTCACAGGCTGGGCGCGGTGGCTCCTGCCTGGAATCCCAGCACTTTGGGAGGTG